TGGTTAGGGTACTCGACTCGCAAACTGAGGGGCGCGGGTTCGAATCCCCGGGTTGGTTGGTTGTTTCGAATTTCGCGCAAAGCTACACGAGAGCTATCTGCGCTAGCCGTTCCTAATTTAGCAGTGTAAGACTAGAGGGAAGGTAGCTAGTCATCACCAACTCTTGGGCTACTCTTTTACCAACGAATAGTGGGATTGATCGTCACATTATAACGCCCCCACGACTGAAAGGACGAGCATGTTTGGTGGAGAATCAAGTGTCAAACTGTAGTGCTGCGAGCTCACGTACATATCACGTGAATATCAAATCATTACGACCTTATATTTTAAGAATAAGTCACAGTTCATTCGTTTTATTTGTAAATCATCTCATTTCTCACTTTCCCGTAGTTTAATTACTAAAATGTATAGAATGTTAGATACGTCTCTATTATTTCATCACACAGATTGTTCAAATTAATAAAAAAAAAATATTACGCAAAGCGGAAAACGCCCTCTTGTATTACGATGGTTACGTCACTATCGTAGGCAGCCATTAACCGAAAATGCTGGTTTCTTCTTACCGGAGAAAGATCTGAAAATTTGAATGGAATGAGATAGAGAGGAGAATAAGATGCTAGTGACTGTCTGAAGCTAGCTATTTAGACAACAAGTACTAACATCATAGGGATAAAAATAAAATGATTTTAGAGGGTGTTGGGTTTCATTAGCGAACTATGCCACTAGGGAACGTGAGCCTGGAGATGAAAGTTTCTGCGGACTGAAAGCTGAGGCGACAAGTACAATCGCATTACCTTATAAATCCACTTAAACATTATAAAACACATTATAAAGAACAATTCTTTCTTCGAGTTCAACTTTATTCTACCTTCGTAAGTCCTAGAGGAAAACGATAAATAACAAAAGATTACTTATGAACATAAAGTCGTTCATCTTTGTCCGAGGAAATGAATAAATAAGTACTTGAGAGGAACTGAAAAAAAAAACCGGAACACACACTTTAGTTTATGTTGTAAAGTTTTCGAAATATAACAAGAATAAAACTGGATCTAAGTCTGTTATAAAATAACCTCTGTTATATGTACAAATGTTACGAAATAATGCTTGTTGGATTAGTTGTCATTGACGAAATATTTCTTGTATTCTGAAGTAACGTTTCTTATACGTCGTAAATGTAAGATGCCAGTGATTGCAAGATAAATGTTATTTGTAATAGATACCAACCAGGAAGTACCTGTTTTGTTTCGTTCAACAATTAGAAGCGTTGTGTAACTTGAGTATTGTGTAAGAGTTACTGTTAGCTGAGCAAAAGGCAACGTCTTAGGATACGTCACATGATCGTTATATGAAGCGAGGGTTGATAAAAATATAATGATTTTGATTGGTTGAAAAAAACTGAAGAATACAAATTGGAAATAGAAGACGGGTAGTGGTGATGGCTGGAGTAGAAAGGTGGATTTGGATGAAGAGGAGATGGCTGGAGTAGAGAGGTGGATTTGGATGAAGAGGAGATGGCTGGAGTAGAGAGGTGGATTTGGATGAAGAGGAGATGGCTGGAGTAGAGAGGTGGATTTGGATGAAGAAGAAATGGCTGGAGTAGAGAGGTGGATCTGGATGAAGAGAAGATGGCTGGAGTAGAGAGGTGGACTGGATGAAGAGGAGATGGCTGGAGTAGAGAGGTGGATTTTGATGAAGAGAAGATGGCTAGAGTAGAGAGGTGGATTTGGATGAAGAGGAGATGGCTGGAGTAGAGAGGTGGATTTGGATGAAGAGGAGATGGCTGGAGTAGAGAGGTGGATTTGGACGAAGAGGAGATGGCTGGAGTAGAGAGGTGGATTTGGATGAAGAGGAGATGGCTGGAGTAGAGAGGTGGATTTGGATGAAGAAGAGATGGCTGGAGTAGAGAGGTGGATCTGGATGAAGAGGAGATGGCTGGAGTAGAGAGGTGGATTTGAATGAAGAGGTTTAATTTCTTAGGTGATTCGTTACTGTGCAATTGTGAATGTTATCAGTCTAGGCGATTCTGTGATAATTAGGGATTTTTTTGTTTTCTAGTTTTCATGATTTATTAAATGAGGTAAGTCAGAAGTCGAAATATTTAACTGTAACTGGTGTAAGTTGGTAGTTCTTGTCCCAGTAATGAACAAATAACTGAACGAATTTCATGTAAACGTACTATTTCATTATATTATTAGGTTAAATATGTCTTTCAAAAGTGTGGTTTCGAAAGGCTTCAGAAAACAATAATGATTAGATTTTTGAAAGAATTAGTAATTTCACTTATAAAAGTTATATTATTAAATCCAGTTTTTTAGTATTGATTTCGTTTGTTGTTGTTGGTGATGTTTTCTCGAACCGACATAAAGAAACATTAGTTAATATTTTATATACAAAATAAATCAATTTCCAACTCTATTTACAGTAAATAAATCGAATTATTGTTATTTATCGTCTACTTTCTAATATGCGAAATAAATTCATTTCAATGTATTATTTTTCCCTTAATGTGTTGCTAGTTTTTACACACATATATATATATATTGAGATTAACTGAAAAATTTTCAGAGACTTATTACCCCCGCCCCCTGAGGAGGGGGAGAAGGTTTTGCAATTGGGTGCGTGCGTGCATCTGTCTGTCTGTGTTTTCACGCAGGTATCTCGAAAACTAATAAACCGATGTAAACGAAAATTTTACACAAGTCAGTACGGAACAGTCCTCCTCAGATTTAGTCCAGATTCATATCCGGATCCGGATTCTGGATCACTTTGAACCATTTTTTTTTATAATGGAGAGATAGAGAATTTTCGCAGTTTTGGGTTAATACCCCTGTAAAGTGTGATCGGATTTCTACCGAATTTCATGGTCACATTAAGGTTGAGACTTCTCATCACACTACAAATATGATCCGGATCGTTAATCATTCTGGATCTGAGCGGGATTTTCCGAGTTTTCGAAGGTGTCATTTTACGTTATCCAATATAAACGTACGCGAGGGTTCGGATCCCCGTCACACCAAACATGCTCGCCCTTTCAGCCGGGGGGGCGTTATAATGTGACGGTCAATCCCACTATTCGTTGGTAAAAGGGAAGCCCCGG